CCCAACCCAATTGCAGTTTAATAAACCGTATATGCTCCTGAGGCAACAAAATTATCCAAGCGCAGTAAATGTAAGAATCTCAATGATATTCTGAAACTTTGACTTTGATAGTACTAAGTGAAGTACCTCTTCCTCACGTTGTTTCTTTAGCTTCTCCTCCTCTTCTTTCTTTTGACGTTCAAGAGCAGCTTCTCTTGCTGCAGCTTCCTCTACCCTGCGGAGTTCAGCCTCCTGCACAGCCTTCAACTCTTTTTCTCGATCAGCTTGGAGAGCAGCAAGATACTCATCATCCTGCAATTGAAATATTGTTAGTCATCCTATAGAGTAGTTGTAATACTCTCCAGCAGATGAATACTGCTCAGTACCTGCTGCTCCCTTAACAACCGCTGCGCCGTTAATGATGGTGACGGAGGACGTGCTACTCGGGGATAGTGAGTCGACCTGCCACGGGCTGGGAAGGAAAATGGATATGGTGCTCCTCCAGGAATCCCACCAAACATTGCAGCCTCAAGCATAACAGCTTCATCATGCTCTTCAGAAGAAATACCACCCCACTTTTCAAGGAAATTTAAACAACACTGTGAGTTTATGAAACTATAATTTGCAGACCATAGCTCACTAGAAGCATAATGGGAACTGAATACCTCTTCTGAAGGAAAACCCCCATTATCCTGATGATCAATTTGAACATGAGGTTGAGGACTTGACGGGGGGCTGTCAGCCCTTTGAACAGTTTCTGCTGGCTCAATAGTTCTGCCTCGAAATCGCCTAGAACGAATCCTAACTAAAGGCTGTTCGTCATCATCTTCACTGCCCTCTTGGAAGTTCTCTTCATCTACTGTTTGCTCAGAAGTTCCAACTTTCCCTGCAGTTAGTCCTCGCCTACAATAAGAATGGACGTGTATGAGGAATCAGTTGCTACCAAGTATATTCCAGACACAGATTATCCTTACAAAGGTTGTGTAGGTAAAGGCTGGCTAAAAACATTGCATGAAAATGACCCACACAAACAGGGAAACAATATCATATCCCGCACGATGCACGGCTTCCATGCAAATGAAACCATACCAAAAAAAAAAACAAATGGTAGGGGAACTTAAATTGAGCCATTAACTGATTATGAATAAGTAATAACCCACACACTACCACTGTTCTACACATTTTGAAAATGTGTGTTCACCTTTCATTTATCCGACTTCCTCCTTGGTCTCCTTCTTTATCAGATAAGTCAGGAGAGTGATCTGCAACATACATTCCCTCTTGGCGCAGAGCTCTCTCTCGCTCTGCTGTCTGGTAGCCACATCAAAAGAACACATTGCGGATATAGGTATATGAACAAAAATACAGAACTGCATCTTAGAAGTTAAAAGTCTACCTCCAAGGACAAAGAAACTGCCCGAGCAAGCTCATCATCACCTCTGCCACGTGACGTGTTTTCAGATTCACCACTACTTAGAACCTGTGCACAATAGTTTTTGTTAAAAAGTTTGTTTAAGCAGATGTACAATCGAAATCCAAAAGCAGAAGCATACATTTTTCATGCCTTCAGCTTCCCTTTTTGAAGCTTCAATTGCTGCTCGGATCATCTCCTCTTCTATATCATTGTTATAGTCACTAACATCAACCACTGGAGGCGCGCTTGGCATGGAATGGTTTGGGTGTGAGGCACTGCTTGGGATCATAGGATCATGAGCAGATGGTGTTGATGGCAAGTCTTCGTCATCTTCATCAACTATAACAGTCCCATGGACCTCTGGACCATAGAAAGATTCACGTCCAGTAACATCCTCAATAATGGGACCCTGACCAGAACTGCCTGTTTGAGTATTGCTGTCCTTAACTTCAATAGGTATCTGCCTCACGTCCCTAGGTTGTGTAACTCGGGGTCCACGTCCAAATATATCACCAGCAGTTATGCTAGCAAAACCTGGATCCAAAAGTGCAAAAGGATTGCCCAAAGTTCTAGGGAACAAAGGTCTGTTGAACATGGGATCAAGTGGTTCATCCAGCTCCATCATGTCATCATAACTGGCAGTGGCAGTGGCAGGTACAGGATTCTGATTGATTCTGGTGCTGAAAACCATTCATTTGAGAATTTCAGTCACATCAAATGGAACAGGAAAATAATATCACGTGACCAAATGCATAGAAGTTAAGAGAACGAAAGCATACGTGGTCCTATCTCCCTCATTAAAATAAGCATTCACGGCTTCATTTAGATCGTGACCATGTTCCTGAGTAAAAAAAAAAATTGGTCAGCCGTTGTAGCTAACATGAGTCCAAAAAGGCAGTCACATTTGTAGTTAACAATGATTATGTGTAATATCTGCACTCCGTTTCTTCAATTATACTATTTGACTGAGAATAACTTAATCATATATAATGAAGTTAAAACCACTAAGGGTTAAAATGCAGCACACTGAATGATAATTATTTATTTGTTTGAAATAACATTCTTTCCATAGAAAATGCTGCGTTTGAGGACATGGAAATGCCCTAAACAGAATATATTTGCAATCAGCGAGAGTATTTACTCATGATAACTTTTTTATCTTTTACTAGGTTAAAAAATACCAGGTTTGATGCAGCAAACTGGATGAATAGAGAATAGCTGACGGATAGAAAATATTTAATATTTAACAATAAAATATCCATTTGTATAAATTCCAATAATTTGTTAGAGATACTACATAAACAGGCCTCCCTCGCAGCCCCAGCCGCCACAATTATGGTTGTGAACAGTACCCGCTTCACTGTAGCGAAGCGGGTACTGTAGCCCGACCGTCGCCGCCTCTCCCTCAACTCTCTCCCTCTCAATCCTCCAGCCACATAACAGAACTAGAGCCTATCTTCATCACAGAGACAGAAATAATTGAATTCAGACTGTAGATTACAGTTTGAACTGCACAATTAGATCAAAGACAAATCAGCTGGAGCGCCTGTGCTGAAATCATGTCACATGCTCAATGATTTAGCACACATTCTGAAATATATTGAAGTGTTTCAGTCAGCGCTCTTAACTCTGCGTTATTACAAACTCCAACAGGACCAATGCAAACCTTCAACCAGGCAGTAGACAACAACATTCTTGACCCACATAAACAAACATCTCAACAAGTGTTTTTCCCTCACCAAATCGACCCAATCTAGCGTTCCAGAAACTGAGCCTCCAACAGAATTTAACACAAATGAACTTACAACTTAGTTCTCGGGCTAGACAATTAAGGAATTCACAGTTACAACATTAGATGAGATCTGATGCACCGGCTCTACTCTGTTCATCCGCCCCGATCCAGTGAAGTCTCGGCATTTCACACCGCACAAATGCAAACTAAAAACTAAGTGCACGCATCAATCCCATCACAACCAGAAAACCTCCCATGCATTACACTCTTTAGAAACTCAAATTCAGCAATTTCTGCGACCCCCCTAAACCCACAGGGAAGCGATTACGATTACGCACACGAAACCCCGGCCCAGTCGCACATCTCACACCCATCCGCCACGGCCCCGCACCGCCATCTAACGAACCCACGCCATGCGGAGCCGAAGCCGAACCCTAGCCCGAAAACCCGAGCAACGGATCCCCAAAAAGCCGGGACCGTAACACCAATGGGTAGAGACGGGGAAGGGAGGGGGCGGGCAGGCGTCGTCACCTCGAGCACGCGGATGGCGGCAGCCTCGTCGGCGCCGGTGATGCTGATGAAGGTGTCGATCGCCTCCTGTGGCGGCCGCGCCATGGATGGAGGCGCGCCGGCACCGGCGGCGGCCTGGGGGAGCCGCGGCGAGGAGGTTGGGGGCCGGTGCGGAGAGGAGTCGCGAAGCAGCGGAGCCGTGCGTGTTAATTCAAGTGTGGGGCGATGTGGTGCTTTCTTATTGCTCTCCTCCTCCCCTCTCACGGGCCCGTGGGCCGTCAGCGGTGGGCCTGCGCGAGAACGACAGACGCCGGAAATGACACCGGTGCCCTCGCGAATGCTTGCGTGTTGCCGCGCTGGATGACTGGATCGGAGAGGAGTAGGGGCATGGGCGTAATAAAACACCATCGACAGCGGCTTTTCTATCTTCTTGCGAAACAAGGATGCCGGGCTAGGAGAAGGGAAGCAAGGAAAAAAGCGTTGGTCCTTGTTCACGAAGGGATGGAGGACGCTTTGACGGGGACGGAAAGCATCTGTAGCCACAAACAACTGACTTGGTATATGCCTTGCTGCAGGGATCAGCCACTTGGAGAAATGCGGCGCCGGCATTGGAGTCTGGAAAAGAGCAATGTCTCAGGCACGTAATGTTTAGGCACGTGTATAGAGTATTAAATATAGACTAAATACGATTATATAGTTTGCGACTAATTTGCAAGACGAATCTTTTAAACCTAATTAGTCCATGATTTAACAATGTGGTGCTACAGTAAATATGTGCTGATGGCGGATTACTTATGCTTAAAAAATCGTCTCGTGGAGTACTAACCGATTATGTAATTTATTTTTTATTAGTATCCGAACATCCAATACGACACCCTCATTTGACACATCATAAATTTTAGTCACCGGATCAAACACCCCTAATTTGGAAGTTTGTTTATGTTCTCTCCAAAAGCAAGAGGGCGTAGGCCAAATACACCTCAATTCAATCTTTCAAACAAACCATCAGCTCAGCGTCATCATATGCGATTTAACTTTGGCAATCTTTCAACTCAAGTCGTCAGTGCGTAGACACTCTCAAAATCTAAATACTTTATATTGGCCGTCTACAATTATCAAGTGAAGGTGTGAAGCTATAGTGTTTTAATTGTTTGCTGAAATCAATATAGCAATTACGCCGAAATCAACAGTTACAAGCTCAAGTTACAATTCTGAAACATTTGTACTTCATAGAACCAGGGAGAATTCGGGCACAAGAAGTGCAGGATGGTCAGGTGGAGGACACATTTGGTCGTACATTTCCACAAACACACGAACATAAAAAATCTGCTCCCTCAAGAGGCATATACTTTGCAGAATAGCTATCTATGTATCGCACTTCCATCTGGATGTTGGTACGCAGTTCAGGTAATGGCACCAGTGGCAGCTGTCGTTCCCATTCTTACCCTTGTAGAGCATGACCAAAATAATCACAAATCTGCAACGTAAAGCCACATTTGTCAATGCTTCAAGTTTCGATTATAAATGAAAAGAATCATCATTACTCATACAAAGTGGCCACATTTGTCAAGGCTTCAAGTTTTGATTATGATGAAAAAGAACCATCATTGTTCATACTTCATACAACGTGCTACGTCCAGTCACTAAAAGATGACACTTTGGATTTGTCAAGCCAACTAAACTTGGGCTCCTACTTTTTATTTTACTATAATATATTGAAAGGCCAAAGATATATCAGACATATCTTTCGAAACAAATCTACCTGTATCATTTCCTAACATTCAAAACCAGCACAGGAAGAGTATTTCTAGTCAAGGTTTGTAATGATTACTTAAGACAGCCACAAAACATGATGGTTTAGACAGTAGAACAAAACTTGTACTATGCTTGGTTTACTTATCTGAAACGCCATCTTTTAATAGCTGGAGGTAGTAGTTGTTTGGCATTAGTTTGCAACAATGCATAGCTCAAGGCAACTATGGTATGTGGATACCACATTCCCTATTACAAGTGAGATGTGACCTTTAGTGTAATTGTCCTAGGATGGTTGGAACTTACCCAACTACCAGCAAGAGGAGTGCAGCAACCCACAAGATATACTGGTACAATTTGTACTTTGGAGGTTGATTAGTCTGAGGGAGCTCACTGCGTTCCATCCAGCCAAATTGAGGTCTTGCCAGCAGCACAAATCCAAGAAGAAATCCAGAAGCAAATCCACCAATGTGGGCAAAATTATCAGCATGAGGTAATATCCCAATGGCCAGATTAATCGCAATTATAAAGAGTAGAGTTATGGCTGCCGCTGCCTGCAAGAGTGAATTGACTGAAACTTAGCTAAAAAACAGAGAGAAAAAGTTAAGCAAAACAGTACACATATAATACGCCTTCTGCTGACCTTGTTGGAATAGATAGTCCAGTTCATAATAAGCTCTGAAAGCATAGATCCAAGGAGGCCAAACAAAGCCCCCGAGGCACCAACAGAGATGTAGTTACTGCGTAAGAAAAGTGCAGACAGCACACTGCCCCCAAAGCCAGATATCAAGTAGATGACCCCAATGCGCACTTGCAAGTCAGAAAACTAAAGTGAGTTGACAGCAGAGAGCAGACTACTGCCAAAACCAGATGCCAGAGGTATTGACAAAGGTAAACATAGCATACTTCCAAATCCATGATGAAATGAGAAGAAAATGAGCCCCAAATAACATGTAAAACCTGATTACGTCTTAGATGAATACCAACTAACAAAGTCATACTTCGATTGATGAAAGCAATAGTCTCGTGTCACGATCCTAACAAAATGGTGCATATAGAAAACTAAGTAGTTGCAACACAAAGGCAAGGTCTGAAAAGAAACCTCCATGACTACTTAATTCAGATTTACTTCAGCTTTCCATAAGCTCCAACTCCAAGACAGAATCAGCTCATATCATTTCAATGCTTATGACATAAAGTACATCTTCCAAGTGCAGATCGATGTTGGAAAATAATAGATAGTCAAGTATCCAATCAAGGTGCTAGAACTGGCAAATATAGGAGACTGATGTTGGAAAATAATAGATAGTCAAGTATCCAATCAAGGTGCTAGAACTGGCAAATATAGGAGACTGATGTTGGAAAATAATAGATAGTCAAGTATCCAATCAAGGTGATAGAACTGGGAAATATATAGATATCATGATAACAACAGAGTGAACCAACAAGTGCAAGTAAGAAGCTTACCAAACCCAAATTGTTGCTCAAGGCGGATTCCAATGAAGAGCAAGCTTAGCATGTTGACAACCAAGTGAACTAGGCCAGCATGGAGCCAGATACAGCTAATGAGACGCCACGCTTGGTGCCCATGAACTACTTTGGCCCAGTTGAGAGCTCCCATCTTCTCCAAGCTGCACAAATATTGGAACTTGTAAAGCAAAACACTGATGTGCTTTAGCATAGGACAATGTCAAGCGAATGTTGAATGCAGTCACGGTTTCATATTGGTATCTCAAAACTGTCCCACGCAATGGAATTAGCAAACAAGAACAGACAAATTCATCTATTTTACAGCTAGATTTAAAAATCCTTACGTTTGCATGATTTTGCAAGAGTCATGAGGTAACAGTAGGAATAGGAAAAGAAAAAATCCACAAGCAGCAACATAACCTGGTTACTTAAACTGCTCATTTATAACTGAGAAAAATATTAATGTAGCCCATCTATCAAAAGTGTACTAGCTGTAATTTTTTATTGACAGAAACTCAGAAATGGACGTAATCGTAGTACTAGATACTAAAAGACAAATCTGTGGAGAATAGAAGATTCCACTGCTGGCTGAATCAGGTGTTGTCACTGCCCTGTGCTCCTAGGTATTAAGCTAAATCAAATGTTTTAGTACAAATCTACCTGCTACAAGGGGAGCAATCTGCAGTAATCTCATCGTTTACTCGTTATAGGGTATATCTATAAATAGTCACCATTGCTCAGTGTCCCCCATTTCCAAACGACCAGAGTTGAAAACGACCAAGAAAAATGGCAACTTAGTAGACAAGGAAGATTCCGGGTGGTATAAAAGCCTATAAGCCCCAACCTTTACTAGTGATTTTTTTTTTTTTTTGAAAACTAGTAGCTTCACTAGCGATTGGACTTGAAATCCCCAACCAAAACGCGACCTCTGGCTTAAAATCGTAACACTGGACCCGTCACAAACCCTTCCTGAAACCCCCAATTTCGCAACGGATCCAACAATCCGGCGGAAACAGGAGCAAAGATCGCAATTCGCGAGGAGTGACGAGGCGTACGTGGCGGAGGAAGGCCCGAAGAGCGGGTTCTCGCGGAGCGGCTGGAAGGAGAATCGGCGGAGGAGCCCGGCCGCGACGCACCCGGCGCCGCCGCCGAGCGCGCTCCCGTGGCGCGGGCAGTCGTTGACGAACATCTCGGCGGCGAAGACCGCGATGCAGGCGACGAGCACGGTGGGCACGAGCCACGGCCACCACCGGCGCTCCTCGTCCGCCGCGGCCGCGGCGCCGCCGGCGTACGAGGCCGGGTACTGGTAGTACCCCGCGGCCTTCCCCTGGCCGCCGCCCGTCGCCATGGCTGAGCTGTCGGCGGCCGCCCCGCGCCTCCGCCTCCGCTGGCTGCAGTTATAGCGTGCGGGGTAGTGGACTGGTGGGTGGATTCGCGCGGCTTTTCTGTGTGTTGTGTGCGTGTGCTGTGTGTGTGTGTTTTGGCTTGGCTTGGAAGCGAGGACGGAGGAGAGGAGGGGAAACCGGGAAGAGCCAAAGAGAGGACCAGACAGCCAGAGCCAGACGAGGTGGAGTCGAGACGAGTGGAGAGTGAGGTAGGGGAGAACGATCGATGTAGCACGTGGGGACCACCGGTGGGTGACGGGCTCGGTTCTATTGTTTTTTTTTTTCAATTTCAAAACACAGTACTCCCCAAACACCCGTCTCTTTTCTGTATGTGTCAAATTTTTTAATTTTAAATAAATTTATAGGAGATATGATAAATATTTGTATCCTCTAATATGTTTGTTATAAAAATATATTTCACTATTAATCTAATAAAACTTGATAGTTATTATACATCATAAATATATTGTATTACTTTTATATGTACTTGGTCAAACTTAAAAAATGACTTCTCTATGTGCATTTATTTTGAGACGAGGGACTGTAGATGCACAACCGTTTACCTACATACGCATACATTCATACGTACTATGATACGTCGATAACTTGAATTGAGAAAAAACGGATTCCGTCACATAGCCGGTTCCCATCATTTTGGAAGGAAGAAGAACAGGTAACTCAGTCCGATAAAAGAAAACGAACAGGTAACTCAGTAAGTTAGGGCACGTTTGTTTCACGCCGAACCGTGCCTCGCCTAAGCCACCACTGCATTAAAAAAAGTGCGGCGAACAAAACAGTCATCACGCTTGCGATAAGAGTTGGCGGTGAAAATGAACTACGTTGTGGCGCCAGTTACGACGCGCCTAAACCGCGGTGTCAACCAAACCGTGCTGCGAGACACCATAGTCTTAGTATGGCACATGTAGGCGTGAAACAAACACGTGCTTAGCCAACCGGCCAACCTTCACCCTTGCCTTTTTTTTTTTTTTTTATTAAGGCGCAAGGCGCAAAGCCAACCTTGCTTGGGCGGACCGTGACAGTCCAATAGTCCATCCCGTACAAGCAACCGGCAATTTAGATCGATGAGATGAGATGAAAAGGCACAGTGTCCTAGTATAGTGTTTTAATTTTGGAGAGGTGGCGTCTGGAGTAGTGCAACCATCAGGTTTGAGACGTACAGTTTGCTTTGTTTTACAATGCGTCACATGTTTTGCAAAGCAAGCTATCATAGATAGAAAATTAGAAAAGGAGCCTGCAGAGTTCACGACACCCTGCGTGCGAATGGATGGTTTTTTTAGCCTATTCGTTTGGTCGTATTTGACTTATAAGCCATGGCTTACCAGTCACCAAACCGGTGGATGGTACTTTCAACCATAATAACTTATAAGCCAAACAAGCTCAAACGAATAAAATGCAGAGTTTGTTTTTGGTTTTGGTCCGAGCACGCAATTGCAGCGCACCACGTAATTCCGTTCCGGTTCCGCTGCAATCGACCGATTCGGGACACGGGATAGCGAGCTGCGCGTCGCCTTCGTCGCAATCGTCGGGTGGCGCCTCCCAAAGTACGGCTTACAAGAGAATCACGGTTGCCCCGGGCACCCGTCGGGTGCGCCCGAGGGGCGATCGTCGCATGCAGTCGTTCGTTCGTGCGTCCCTGTACGTGTGCTTGCAGGTCGCGACTCGCGGCGGTACGGATGAACAGCGGCAGAGCTAGAGTGTGGACACGAGACAGCTGAGGACGAAGGAACAGGCGCAACGGCCATGGCCCCGGCATGTTCGTCGGTCCGTCAGCGAGTGACTCGACACGGCACGAGCGTGCGACATGGGGTTGCGACGTGGTCGTGCCAATTCGGTGTAAGGCATTAATTTCCATACGCTAATGATGGATTGACAGTCAGTCCCAAACACTTTGTTCTAGAATTAGAATCTAGCACAATTAGGCAGGCCATCCATCGAGACCATCATTCATCGAGGTCTAAATCCAAAAGAAAAATCAAACTTGCCCGTCCTAACGTTTGTTTTTTTCCTTCTCTAAGAGTATACGTAAACTCATTCTCTGATCTGACAGTAAACGCTAACCAGCTGTTCACGGACGGACGGATGCTACCTTGCTACGGCGAACTCTTCCACCGGAGCACGCGCCGCCGGAGCCAAGGCAGGGCTCGGCGCTGGCGCCACCACCGAGCCAGAGCCGGAGCCGGGCGTCTCCCGCACGTTGGAGAAGACCGAGCGGCAGGGCTGGTCGCCGCAGCTGAGGTTGATGCCGTCGAGGCGCACCCCGGTGCACGCCCGCTCCTCGCTGCACAGCAGCTGCACCGCCACCCTGCTGCTGGACGTGCCCTCGATCCGCTCGAACGTCACGTCGCTGATCTGCACCTGCGACGGCTGCATGCTCCGTCGGGCGACGGCGGCGACCAGACCGTTAGTCGTGTCCTTGTACTGAACTCAGCAGCTAGGTCGAGAACATTGCATTGCGAGTGGCAGTACCTTGTTGGCGTCGGCGCAGTGGTCGTGCGGGCAGTACCGCTGGTCGATGATGATGGGGTTGGCGACGTCGTCCATGGTGATGTCCTGGAAGGTGATGTTGGACGCGCGGCTCGGCGGCGACCCGGGCCACGTCTTGATGCGCACCCCGTTGGTGGTGCCCTTCACCGTGCAGTTCTTGATGATGAGCCCCTGCACGTCTTGCTCGCCCTCCTCCTTCCCCAGGCTCCCCACGCTGCATGCAAACCACGCACAACATGTTCTTGATCAGTTTCTTCATCTTCTTCTTCCCAAGTTGTTCAATCTCCACTAGTTTGCTACCCCTATTGGCCATTAGGTAGCGCGTGACCTGAGTCCGTGGCCGGGCCCGCAGATGACGCCGTTGACGAGGACGTCGACGGAGCCGGGGCCGACGGACACGCAGTCGTCGCCGGTGCCGATCACCGAGTCGAGGACGCGGATGTGGCTCGACAGGCCGACGTGGACGCCGTCCGTGTTGCGGCTGCGCTCCAGCGCGTGGATGCCGAGGCCCTCGGCCACCACTCGGCTGCAGCGGCGGATGTTCACGTGGAAGCCCCGGCTGTTGACGAACGCCAGGCCCCGAAGCGTGGAGTTAGTCACGCCGTCGAGAACCAGAGTCTGCGTTGATCACAATGACCCGACGGATCCATCATCTCGACGTCTCGTTGTTGACACGAGACAAGGAACTCGCATCGACTGATCAGGCGCTCTGGTTAGCTAGCTAGCTTACCGTCGTCTTGGACTTGGACTTGATCCTGTCATCGCTCCCGGCGCCGTGGCCGTCGAGGGTGCCGTCGCCGGTGACCAGGAGGTTGTTCAGGCCGCTGAAGGTGATCCAGGCATCGTCCGAGAGGCGGCACCCGCGGCCCCCCGCGCACGGCCGGAGCACGCCGTCGATCACCACCACAGGCGCGCCGCCGCCGTTCCTGCACGGCCCCTCAAACGCCACGGCACCGACGGCGAACGTGCCCTTGGGGAAATGGAGCGTCGGGTTGCCGGCGGTGGAGTCGCACGCCGCGCGCCACGCGGCCAAGAACGCCTGCACGACGTTGAACATATATATAATATTAACATTAAAACATGTACATTTGGCTGGAATTTAGTACGATCAAAATGTGGGAAGTAAATGGCACTCACGTCTTTGTTGTCCCTGTTGCTCGGCGCCGCTCCGTACTCTGTCACGCCATAGACGGTCGCCGCTCTGCCCTTGCCGTGTGCGTGGCCACCGCAGAGCAGCACGACGACGACGAAGTAGAGCACCCGGGGATTGATGAAGATGATGGCCATGGCGTCGGGACGGGAATTTGCAGAGATACCGAGTAGCGTGAGGGAGACGACTTCTCACCTTATATGGCCATGCTTAGCCTGGGGGAGAATCGAAGTCATTAGGCTGCTGTAAGTGTAACTTCTCGGATTAATTTGGTCTAGTGTGCTCTGAATGAGCCTAATGGGTACACAGTACCTCAGTGGCTGCGACTCTCCGTCTCAAACGAAAATGGCTGCGGCTTAATGACTGCCTGTAACTGCTCCTCTGGGATCAATGGGTGGTTCTCGCGGGGCTAAAAAGTGCTTGGAGTCGATCGGTTTTCAGTCCTCGGCTCCTCGCTGTCACAACCAGAGTTCAGTAGTCTAGTCTAAGGCCATGTTTGGAACTTTGGGTACACATTGCTAGTTAGTAGTTTGAGCTAAAAATTAATCTAATATAGTTGTGGTTAGTTAGCTAATAACAGTATTTGAAGATTTGACAAATAAATTATAGCTCACATTTCCTTGCTTCGAAAGGCCCCCGTGTCACTCCCACATGAGCGACACGGGAGGCGACTGAACCCGCGCTGCAGCTCCCCTTCCTCCCTACCTCCCACCGCGCCGCCGCCGAAGTAGGTCGCCGGCATGGCCGTGCGGCTTGCTGTGAGGGCGGCGGCGGGGCCCTTCTTCGTGGTGGTGGGTGCGGTGATCGAGGGCGAGCTCGTGCTTGGCATCCTGGGCACGACGCGGAGCATGCGGCGGCGCCGGCGCCGGCGGTCCGGGACTACATGCTCGCCTCGGTGTTCGGATCCGGTGAGGCATGGGTCGGATCCATACGGAGCTCGGCCGTTAGGCGACGGCAGCTGCGACTACAGCCTTGGACGCCGGTTCAGCGCCTGGGGCACGCGCGGTGTGGCTGTGTCGGCCTGGGGCACCGGGGGCGGGCCTTTTCCTCTTCCCCGTGCTCGGCTGTGGTGGCGACGTGCACAGCAGCGGGCCGGCGAGGTGTGCAGCACTTGCGCGAGCCGCGTGTGGCTCGGCGGGGCCACCTGCTACAGCTGCGGTGGAGCCGGCCAGTGCCCGTGCAGGCACCGGGCGGCGGCGGGGGTCTTCTTCGTCTTCCTCCGCATCCTCCTTTTCCCTCTCGACCATGGATCCGTTGGGGGAGCTATTGCCTAGATTCGGCGCCCCCAGGGTAGGGGCGGCACCTGTGCTGGAGCATGCGCCTGACGGTGACTGTCGAAGGTCGACAGCGTTGACGGCGAGTCCTCAGCCGGCGACGGCTTCGGCATGCGGTAGGGGGACGCGCGCGGCAAAGTGAGGCTAGTTTTCGGCATGTTTTTTGGTCAGCGGGGGTGGCCGACGCAGCTGTAGAACAACGATCCTAAGATGTGAGACCGAAGTTCCCGAAGCTCTTCGCGATGTGCTTGTGGCCGGGTGGAACAACGATCCTGTGATGCAACAGAGAAACTTCCAGACTAAAACATAAGTTAACAGTAGTAAACAGCAACATCAAACTGCAGCAGAGAAACTTCCAAACAGTGAAACCACCAAATAAACGGGACTGAACTGACTGAAAAATCACTAATCTGCATGAAGCAAAGAAGAAAATGTGCACAGGGTGACGTAAACAGCCGAATGGTGATCAATTTTGAAATTAATGCATTTTCCCCCGCGATCTCTCTGGATTACACTAACACACAGAGCCTTCCGTCAAGACATAGGTAGCGACGACAAGTTCAAAAAAGCAGGGTTAAGTTCTCATCCCATTCGATCTTCGGTTGCTTTTGGTGACTTCACAGTCGATCGGGGCATAGATAGAGATGAGATCATGGTAGACAGGATGAGGCGTTCTGGCCAATTGGGCTATTAGGAAAATGATGCGCCCTAGGCCATAGAGAGAGAGCCAAGCATGATAATGTCACTTAGGCTATTTGGCATGCTGGCCGGCGGCACTCCCCGCGCAGCAGGACCCAAGCCAGTAAGGTGTTGCCGGATCATGAACAGTAGAGAGAGAGGGTGGCACTAAGGCACGTGGTAACTTGCTCCCCTGACCCTCTATCTATGTACAACTAAAAAAATACCAGCTCGGGGATCAAAGAAAATAAATTGTAGCATTAGCATAGCAAGTTAGCAACTAATAGGAAGTTAGCAACTCATATTCAATGAAAAAAAACAGTCGCAACAATTTTTCGGTAATCACTATCAAAGAGCTGGATGATGAAACACTATCAGGCACTTGCATGAATATTTGATAGCATCCTAAGCAGCTCGTTCCTAAAAGTTATCGAACCTGAAGGTGAAGCTCAAGCATCTCTGCCATCTAGCTACAGTACCTTAGGGCTTAGGTCACAGATTACTGTAACAGAACCAACTACGAGCAGAGCAGCTGGTTCTCAAATCGATCTAAGCATTCAGCAGCGGTGCGTAGCCAGGATTTATAAGTAGGGTGGTTCATTGTTTAAATTTTTAAACCTCTATAAATAAAATACGTTGGTACACAACTCCATGCACGAATAGATTAAGGTAAATAGGACATACAAACATCATAATATAAAATAGACAAGCCTATCTTGTTTAATGTAAAATTAAAAGATTATATACCATACCAATAATACAATGCTGCAAAAAAATACTACACTTAAAATAAAATAATCCAGCGTTGCACAAATTTTTTTCCAATAACCCAATGTCGTTCTAGATGTCTATAACCTAAATCAGTTCAATTTACATATCCTGTGACTTGTGCACTTTTGCTGTATGTTTCTATTGGCGATCACCGGCTGCTAGCAGCGTCTAATCTATTGCCTATGCTTGAATCTAATTTGCTTAATGAGAAACAGATTAAGATCACAGAAGAAGCTGAAGAAAGGAACCGTGGTTAAGGGCAGCAGGTTGATTGAGTGATTGCTTGATTTTGATTAGCTTATTATTTTACTAACTGCAGTTCGAGACGATGAAATAAACGTACCTGCCCGCTAGTCTACTCCGCTGCTGCTCGGCCACTGGCAGGTAGCAAACACTGGTCGCTGGTGGCAGCTCACAAGTCGTAGATGCTAGTGGCCGTGCCCGCCGCCGCAGCGCTCCTGCCGTCGCGGCGTCGTCCAAGTTCCGATCGCACGTGCGAGATGACGAATGGGCACGGCAGCGCGACATCACACGGAAGACCGATGCCTTGTTACTGCCCTTATTTGTGGACTGCGGACGTGATCCGTGGCAAGCTGGCCACAAATGACGCACTACACAGGCACCGCCTTCTGATAACAACAGCAATGAGGGGTAATCAACTAATCATGGATACGGAGTTTCCTTCTTGCTCTTGCATGCAAGATTGGCTCACACGCATGCAAGGTACGTAATCACGTTTAGTTCTTTTGCATAAAATGGAAGGGAAAAAAAAGAAAATCTCAACCAACGTGGTAGATAATCATGTTCGATTCTTTTGCATGCAAGAACAATCACAACCGCTTGATGAAAATAATTTCGCTTTTTATAATATTTGATTGATTGATAGTAGTAGTTTCCTTGCTCTTGTATGCATTCTGGCGCGGTGGAGGGCGCACAGTGATTGTCGTGCAGGCCAGGTCCACCGCACGCGCGTGCGAGTGAGGGAAACGCCGGCCGAGCGATGCGCGAACGAGCATGTGAAACCGCCATGTTGACGATTGCTCTCCGTATGTTTTAGGGCGTCCCAACGGGTCTCTAAATCGCCAGCAGATATTGTATTGTATTATATTCCTGTTCGGCTGGTATTAAAGCCAACTGATAAGCCGGCTAAAGTTGTTTTGTTATGAGTGAAAAATATTGTAGTCGACTGATAAATTCAAGCGAACATGCCCTTATCGCTACCGAATATTTAAGCAACTAGCTCGCACGCCCACAAAAAAAAAACCATTAGTCTCTGACACGCTTCTCCGGTTTCCTTGCGAGGTGCAGCCATTTCTTTTTCCTCTTTCTTTATTCGTTTACCTCACCACATCAGGTGTCGATTTCTTGCAACTCTTGGGTACGCCCTTAGTCCCTCCGTCTCAAAAAAAAAATGCAAGTCCTGCTTCCCGATGAGTTATTTTTTTTTAAATAACTGAATTTATATAAAACTTAACTATATTTATAACATATAATAAGTATCATTACATTGAGTATAGATTATACTTTTATAATAAACTTCTTTGGAGATATAAATGTTGATACTATTTTTTTTTACTTTTTAGTTAAATTTAAAAAAGTTTGATTTCTTAAGAAAGGAGATGTGCATTTATTTTGGAACGGAGAGAGTAGTGGTAGACATAGAGATAGAGATAGAGAAGAGATTTGAGTTTGCAATTACACATAAGTTGACATGACGTTTAACAACTTGGACTTGTATCAGTTTTCTTCACTATAGATGGTGCACCTTTTATTTAGGGGTCACATAAAAGTTGTTGTTAGAGGTCAGCAAGAGATGTAATTAAGGTTATAGGTTTTGACCTATCATGCGCTACTACTTTTTAGAATTCTCAAAACACGGACCTCTATATGCTCGTGTATATCGATTAAGAATGTACCATTTATAATGATTATTAGGGTCGCAACACTCGTACAAATTAGGGCTACGACAGGCATACTAATTAGGATTATGGGTTTTGTCCCACTGTATGCTCACGTTGCTACTTTTTAGAATTGTCAAACACGAGTCGCATATACTCATACACATTGATCATGGTTGCAGGCTTGCAGCATTCATACTGATTGAAACCACAAATAGATATATTGATTAGTGATTAGCATATAGGGTTCGCTCTATCGCTTGCTCAGATTGCTACTTGACGACGTAATTCATTATTTCTTTGTTCTTTCTTTCTAGAATGTTACTTCCCACGTTATTATTTTGTTGATGCAACGTTTATTTCCTTACCAATTTTGTTGATTCAATATATTTATAAGAAAGGTTGATTCGATACACCTACATGCACATGACGACAATCACCGTGTGTCGAGAAAGTTGGTTTCTTTTGAAAATGTGATGTTGAATTTTGTGGCGGCCCCAGACATGCGAGAGCGAGACTGCATGCTTAATTGACTTGGGAGTGTCCGTGCGTCAAGCTGAAGGTTTATTTTACGTTTTCTGTCTTTGAACTTGCACTAGGCACCAAGAGAGATGGTTGGGAGATTAGGGAAGAGAACGGACGGAAACGGGCGGAAAAAACTCCTCTCCCATTTCCGTTTCTATATTTTTAGCGGAAACAGGATCGGGTTCGGGAAAAAAACGGAATTAAAAACGGATGGATATATACGGAAATACGAAAACAGACAAATACGGACGGAGATCTAGAAAATTAATTTAGAATAACATGATCAAATATTCTCGAGTATACATGAACAAAGTTACAAAATAATATACACGTACGAAGTTATCGGTCCAATATTCCATAGCATGCCATTCTTTAACATATTAACATGTATAATTGGCGATGAGTAGGTTTATGAACATATCGATTCCTAGACATATCTCACATAGATTGAAAACGGGATGAAAAACGGAACAAATACGTATTTTCTGGATGAAAACGGGATCCGACAGAAACGGACGGAAAACCCCCTCTCCTGTTTTCGTATTTACGGAAATGGACGGAACAAAGTGGAAATCGGAACGGGTCGGAACGGGATTTTTTCCGTCCGTTTTCAACGCTAGGGAGATGCTCCTAAAGAAACAGGTTGCGAGATTACAAGGCGCAGACCAATGCAACTCCGTGGATCAACAATGAGATGAGCAATCAACGAATCGAGAATGGGGTCATCTAATCGGGCAGAGAGGGAATATGAAGAGGAGCAACGGTTCACCGTTCACGGACATGTGGTGAGAAAAAATGATGGCTACCAAGAGCATCTCCAACAGTTTGGTAAAAATCACTTGCCAAATATTATGTTTTGGCAAGTTGCTATAATAATATACCAAGTGAAAAATAAGCTCTCTCCAACAATTCCCTATTTTTAACTTGCCCACCAGTTGAGGTTGTTGACTGGTACACCCGACGGCTTCCCTTCGTTCCTTCAAGCGACCCCCGACATCTTCCTTTCCTTCGCGATACGCAGGCCGATCAGTATTCCTCGTACGCGCCGCCGCAGGAACAGGATCACCGTGCCCCTTGTACTCCTCCCGTCGCAGGTCAGGAATGTTAGGGTCCATCGAATGTATGCATTGGGCGTGGAAGAACTGTCCATATGATAAACAGGGTCAGTACAAGGGACATGTGAACAAGCCCACTATAATTTTGGAGGTTGTTGCTTCAATGACAAACTATACCAACAAGGCAAGGAATTCATGGTGGCGCGGCTCCTACTGTTGAGTGTACACATCATAAAAAATATGACTACACATGATGTGGTAAAGAAATAAAGGGGAACAGTACCATCTAGACCACATGACATATATATCTACTTGGGCATGAAAACAGAAACCATGGACAGCGTCACCACATCAAATCAACGGCAGCAAACCATGAGAACCATCAGATCAACTACAAGTACTGACTACCTACACAACATACACGTAGGAACATGAAGGAGCGATCTAGTGGATGACATTCAACAATCCATATACAACCCTATACAGAACCCTATACAGAGAGCAGCAACAGACAACCCTAAACGACGGCTACAGCTGAACAAGAGGTGGAAACTCGGGCTACGAGATCGAGCAGGCATGGAGATCGACGGGGAAAAGATGAAGCAGGATACCTAATTGCGGAGGCTGCCGGGACCTGATCGGGGTTCTTGGCGACGACGGGTGCTGGGCGATCTCCAAGGACCGGGGTTCTTGGCGGCGGCCGATATCTCCAAGCGCGGCGACGACGGGGTGCTCGGCGCGGCGGCGGCCCGATTCTTTGGCGCAGTCGCAAGCCACTGATCGCGACGAGGAAGTGGATGCGGTCAACACGGATGGATCGAAATATATGGACACCGGCCGGCCTTGCGGCGCGCCGGAAGAGGCCGCGGAATTGTCCGCCCGCGTGCGGGAAGGAAGTCGGAGATGCACGGGATCAAGATGGCAACACCGATGCGCACGCGTAAATATACGCGCGCGGCGACGACAGATAGCAAGTCGGGAAAATTGGCAAGCAACTTTGGCAAACTGTTGGAGAACGATTTTTGCATGTTTTGCCAAATTTTAAAGGATGGCAAGTTATTTACCAAACTGTTGGAGATGCTCTAAGGAAGTCCTCTAAAAATAGACCGAAGATGAAAAATGGAAACAGAAACAAAGAGTCTTATGTAAAATAGAGTGAAGCCGATGAGTTGGCCTAGAAGAAGCATCTCCGTCAAAGCTAGACTTGGAGTCTTGACTTCGCAAGGGCAGTAGGCCCAAAACGGGAAGCTTAACTATGAAACCTGTTTACCTATCCAGCACTACTTCAGAGTATTTTTCAGCGAACGAACAATATTTTCTCTCACAACAAATCAACATAAACGCAGCATAAGCTAAATTTCAGCAAAACGAGCCAACTAAAAAAACTATGAGTACAAGAAACCGTGGTCTCCACCTAGCTGGTGGCACACAATGCGGCGCCATCGGCGTCCTAGAGCTTGTTCGGCTGGAATAAAAAAAAGTAATGTTCATGCTGGTTTTCATTGTTCATGCTGGTTTGTTGTGAGAGAAAAACACTGCTCCAGCTAAAAAAAAAAAGCGAATCAGCCAGCCGATCCATACGAGCCGAACAAGCTCCTAATCATACCCAACTTGGCTTGGAAGAAAGCGCCTTTCATACCTTCTAGTAGGCGTGACGCGATGTTTCCTCACCAGATATTGGCCATATTCGTTTATCTTATGAGTCGTACTATTTCAACGAATAAATAGTGTTTTTCTCTCACAACGAATTAGTGAATAATACTTTCAGCCATGGTTTTTCAGCCAAGCGAAAGACCATTTTTCGCGTGACAAACGCAGCGTAATCCACCTGGAATCGACGAGTCGACGTAGACATACACCTCCTTCATTGGAATATCTCAATTCTGACCAGCGACCACCTCAGCTAATCTAGACTAGATGTTGTGGACATGTTCCCACATGCTGACTATCCAAATTAACCCCAGAAAAACAGAAACTGCAATGCGCAATTTGGACTACTACTAGCTGACGAGGATTCCAGTGTTGTGTTGGATCACCAACTTCAACAAGAAGTCAAGAACAGAAATTAGTTACTAATCTATCTACAGTCCACAAGTTAATCTCTAGTTTATGGATCGCTATACATAAAGGATACTCGGTACTTGCAGTAATATGAGATAGACTAACAAAAAGTTATTACTACATTAATACTGGAGTTTTACATAGGATCGATCAGTAAATCCCCAGCTAATTAGACCTCTCATTCTAGTTTAACCTGTAACATACAGCATGTTCGCTTCGTCGTAAACGATCGTAAATTTCCAGCCACAACAGTATTTTCCTCTCACACCAAACCAGCCAGCAGTAAATAATTCACGATCGTTTACGGTCTCCGAACAGGCTGATACTTACTTAGTACTAGCATTAGTAATAAGTGTAATAATTTACTGAGATGGACGGACGGATTGGCTTGCAAGCTCGAGTCACTCAGCCTGGGCATTTTTTACCACTCCCGAAAACCCGAACCGAATCCGAACCGAACCGAACCGAAATGGGCCACGACTGCGGCTTCGGCCCGTCGTTCGAGTTCGGTTTTTTCGGTTTCGGCTTTCGCCGTCTCGCGGAAGTTCGCCGTGCCAGCGTCGGCTTCGGTTTCGGTTTCTACGACATACCCGAACAGGCACCAAAACCCGCGGGAACTAAAAGTGTGTCAGAATCTCTGCTTTTTTTTTCTACCAAGAAACCGAACTAAATACCGAAAAACCAAACTTAAAATGTGTTGTAACCTGTTTTTTTTTCCCCGTTGTACCGAGAAACCGAACTAAAAACCGAAGTTTGTACTGTAAATCTTGTCCGATATTTTTTGCATCGGTTTATTCGGTTTAACCGAAACCGAACTAAAAACCGAACCGAAATTGGTCGGTTTTTGAAATTTTAGCAAACCGATCGGGGGTCATTTTCTGGAAACCGAATTTTTGAAAAACCGAACAAACCGAACCGAACCGTCGGTAAAAACCGAACGCCCAGGCTGACGAGTCACCTCGAGTTGTTGGACCCGTCGTGGTCACTCCCGGCGCTGCCCGAGCCGTTGCAGGCCCGGAGCGGGAGGTACACGGGCCTGGGCCGGTAAATGGGCCACGACTGCGGCTTCGGCTCCGTCGCGTTGTGCTCCTGCTGCTGGTCGGGATGCGCGGCATCCACCGGCTCCGCCTTCACCTCCGCCGCGCGCCTCGCGGGGTGGTCCGCCACGCCGCCGCCAGCGTCGCCGTTGCTCTCGTCCCGCATTCGTTTCCGCCCAATGGAGACGCCGAACAGCCTGGCGCCCGCCTTCTCAGCCTCGTGCTCCGCTCCCGCTGCCGGCGCGGGCGCGGGGTCGCCGCGGCACGAGGGTAGGAGCTCCAGGATCGAAGGAAGCGGAGGCGGCGACGCCGCGGCGGCCTCCGACGACTCGCCGGAGCAGTTCCCCGCGGCCGCCGCCGCCGCCTGCTTGGCGGCGTCCGGCTGCTGCTGAGTGGCGGCGTACTTGGACACGAGGAGGAGGATGTTGTTGCAGAGCTTCTTCATCTGCCCGAGCTCGCGCGCGAGGCGCGCGTTCTCCCGCCGCAGCCGCTCGTTCTCCTCGCCCACGTCGCCGGAGGCCACCTCGCCGGAGCCCGACCCGGACGGCGCCGGCGGCTGCAGCGACGGGGGCTCGGGGAACGAGCTTGACGACAGCACCTGCTCCTCGCCGGAATACACCGGGGAGCCCACGGGCAGCGCCATCGGGATGGCCGCCGCCGCGGCAGCAACCGTGACCGCCCCCGTGGCCGCCGCGGCCGGCGTCACCTTTCGGCGGTGTATGTCGCACAGCAGCCGCTTCTCCCCTCGGCGGAAGCAGTCGTTCGCGAACTCCCACCTGTCCGGCTCGATCTTCCTGAACCCCTGCACCCGTGGGAACCCCGGATCACAACAAACAGTCAGCACCACGCCGAGACGAGACGATACACGGCACGGAAAGGAAAGCGATTGAGATTTGAGACGAAACGATGGATGCAACGGGGACGAGGCGCTCACGTAGGTGTTGAGCTGGCGCACGAAGCTGGAGAAGTTATTGTGCTTGAAGTACTTGGGCAGGAGGTCGCGGGCGAACTCCGCCGGGCGCCACACGATGAAGGCGGACCCGTCGTCGTTCCACGAGATGACGTCGTCCACCGCCGGGTCGTCCACCAGCTGGTACGTCTTGGTGAGGAACGGCGTGGGCACGGACCTCTGCCCTGACGCCGGCGCCGACGCCGTCACGCCCTCCGCCGGCTGCGGCGTGGCGGGCGGCGGCTCGCCCACCGCGGCGGCCATGGCGGCGCCGGCCGCGCGGATCTGGCTGGGGGGCACCGTCGGCGCGGGAAGAGAGATAGAGGAAGAGGAAGGAAGGAAGAAAGGTGGTGGGTTCTGGAAGTTTCCGGTGGCGTAGCGTGGAGAGAAACCAGCGGCGGTTACGAGCAGAGGCGCGGAGTAGGAGGAGACGGGACGGGAGAAGAGGGACACGGTCGCGGAGGGGAGGCGCTAATATGGCGAGGAGGGCGACCCGCCAGCCACTCGTGCGCTCGTGCCGCGTAAAGAGGCGAGCGGAAGCCAAGTCGCGCGCGTCGCGCGGCGCGGCCGGAGCGGAGGGGAGGGTAGAGGGAGTCCGGCCGGTCCCGCCTGGCGTGGAGGGTGTCTGGCCCGCCGGATGGGAGGCCTGGGGTGGAGATGGGATGGGGTGGCGGCGCGCGGGGCGTGGCGTGGGGTGCATCATGCGTGGTGGGTGGGGCGACGAAACGGCGAGAAGGTTCCGTTGTTTTTTCCCCGGTTCGTTGTTCTGGAAGGTTCAAGACCCGGCGGAGGAATCTTGGACACGTCTCGGGCGCCGGTGGGCCCCCCCTGGCTATTATAAAAAAAAACTTTATAAAATCGAAATTTTGTTAGCACTAACCACACCATAGTACTACTGGCCACCCCCAACACTCCTAAGGAACTTACCCACCTGACAAAAGAAGCCACCTCACCTTGCCAGTAGCTCGTAGAAGTGTTATATTCTTCTATAAAAAATGTTATAGCTTGGCTGAAATAAAGCATGAAACTACTGATGCTATGAGAAAGCAAAGAAGGTAAAAGCTGACACACAGAGAGGAGAGAGAAGAAGGTAAAAAAAAAACTAACAGCTGCCTGCGTTACTGCTTATGCTGTGCTTTTTGGTCAGACTACTGATGTCATGCGAGGCTGTCTTTGGGCGCGTTTAGTTCCGTAAAGTTTGCACATGTAAACTTTGTATAGTACATGATTCTCTACGGTAGCATTTTATTTGTATTTATAAATTATTGTCCAAACATTGACTAATTAGGTTTAAAAGATTCGTCTCGCAAAGTTAAAGCAAACTGTGTAATTAGTTTTTGATTTTGTCTATATTTAGTACTCCATACATATACCGCAAGTTTGATGTGACGGGAAATCTTCTTTTTATATAGTGCACTTTTAAAGAACTAAACAAGGGCTTTACAGATAAAGTTAGGCCTTGTTTAGATACTAGTTAGGAATTAGTATTCGGTACTGTAGCACTTTTCGTTTGTATTTGATAATTATTATCCAATTATGACCTAACTAGACTCAAAAGATTCGTCTCGTAATTTATAATTAAATTATGTAATTAGTTATTTTTTATCTACATTTAATACTCCATGTATATGTGTAAAGATTTGATGTGATGGAGAGAGAGTGAAAAAACTTAGAATTTAAACAAGGCCTTACTGGAAACCTTTTTGCTTGGTGCAATCAAGACCGGTGCCAGTAGCTTGACTGATCTAACTTCATGTTGGATTTTCTTCAAAAAAAACTTCATGTTGGATTTTCATAAAAAAAACTTCATGTTGGATTTCGTGTGGAGTGTGGACACAGAGATGATCTGGTGGCTTCCGTACACTATTGGTGCAAGTGTGACAGCTTTTGTGACTCTAGATGATCGAGCGCAGATATTTCTTTGCTACCGACCAGAATGCAGACTATACGCTTCTCTTAGATCTGTCTTTTAGCTTGTTTTTTTAATTATAGTAGTGTTTTTTTTACAACAAATCAGTTAGAATAGTATTTCGATTTGTTTTTTTAGCAAAAAGAAAAGGACCTAGAGGCATTTCACTTATTGGTGCTGGTGTTGGTTTGGGCTAACTGGTGCTGGTTTTTTTTAGAGAAAAACACTATTGACTAACTAATTTGGGCTGACTGAAACCACCAAACAAGGCTGCTAGATTTCTTTCGTCCAACGCACACAGCCTTTTGAGGTGCCGAGTCTGAGGCCTCGTTCACTTTGAAAAAAAAATAAATCTGATGAATAGTACCATTTTCATCTTATTAGTTAAATATTGTCCAATCGTGAACCAACTAGACTCAAAAGATTCATCTCGTGATTTCCAACTAAACTGTATAATTAGTTATTTTTTACCTATATTTAATACTCTATGCAAATGACTAAAAATTAATGTGACGAAAGAGAGTGAAAAAACTTAGAATTTGGATGGCATCTAAACAAGGCATGAGATCTTTTGCTGATCCGATCGCACTAGTACTGTAGTAGTCCGCATTATCGTCGTCCTGATATGGACAGGTGGTCGGTGGATAGCGCTACACGAGAGCTGGTCTTTGCTCGACGCCGCTGCACTGTTTTCCGTACGGTAGACGGGCGTCCATAATTCAAGGATGAATTTTGGATTTCTACTCGCTCCATCCTAAAAATGCGATTCTCGTTTTTTAGATGCCAATCAGTTCCAATATTAATCAGCTCTATACAGAAAAAGTACTACTAACATCTTTTATACAAAAAAATAGTATTATTACATTTATTACGAAATATATTTTTTTAAATAAATCTATTTAAGACATAAATATTGGTATTTTTCTATAGAATGTTCTAGCAATCCTAGATGGTATCCAAATTACGGCATGGCAACTACGGTTACTACTGGTACTACTGCGTTGTACTGTACTGTACTCCCTCCATTTCGTTAAAGAAAAGTCGTTTTGACATCGACATTGTCTTCAAAAATAACTTTAACCCCTATTTTTTCTATAAATATTTATAAAATATAGTCAATATATAATTTTGTAAAACTATATTTCGAGATGAATCTCCTTTCATCACTTTCATATTTTTAAACTCAATTCTAAAAGAATTTATTTACAGTCCAAGCTTAAAATATTTGACTTAAAACAACTTCAAAACGGCTTTCATGGAGGGAGTACGCTGTGTTGACTTCGGCATGGATTGATCGATTGTTGTCAGTGCCGGCCCTAGGGGGGGTCAGGACTCTAGGAGGTGCGATGGCCGAGGGCCCAGACGGGATGGGGGCCCAAGCCCAAGTATATAAGACCCCATACCCCAAGTATATAAGTCCATTAGAATTTAAGATTAATGCAACAGCCAGCAGGCCAGTAGCCCATCAGCGTTGGCGCAGTCTTTCTTTTTAGGAATCAAGAGGCCAGGAGCCCGTCAGCCTCTTTCAGTGTTTCTTTCCAGGAATCAGGAGGCGAGGAGCCCGTCGGCCCCTTTCAGTCTTTCTTTTCAGGAATCAGGAGGCGAGGAGCCGAGCCGCCAACATCGTAGCCCCGCACAGCGAATCAGCGATCACTACTTCTGCAGCCCCGCACAGACTTCCGCAAACGGCAAGACGTAGCGCCGATCGAGCGATCACCACCCGACAAGGCAGCCGAGGCAGGGCTCGACGAGGACGACGAGTCGACGACATCTGAATATTTGATCTTGGTTATTGGCTTTTGCCCTTTTTGGGATTTGTGAATTTTTGTTCTGAATCAGTTCATGTCCAAATTGTCTAGGCCCTAGGTTTTTTTTTTTTTCAAATTTTGTCTAGTACTTTGTACTCATGTAGTCATATTTTTCTTGTAATTTAGGTCAGGTGTAAGAATTTTAGTGTCGGTGTAGAAAGTGACCAACAAGTAAATATTTGTAGTTTTGCCGTACGTTGTGATCGGATGTGGCCTAGCACTCAATGACACAGGGTTTATACTGGTCAGGCAACGTGCCCTATGTCTAGTTTGAGTCGGTCAGTGACTTTATTCCTGAGCCTAGGTACTCGAAGTTTGTTGTGGGGTTACAAACGAGAATGGGTAAAATGGGGGTGCAAGAGGTCCGGTCGGACTCCGGTCTGAAGGGCCGAGAGTGACGAGAGCTCCGACGTGCACTGAGTATTCGAGCGTGTGCTCGAGGTTTAAACCCGGTGGTTCTGTTGTTGTGTGTTGAATCGATCGTTGGTTGAGAGAGAGTGTACGTGTGCTACTAAGTCTTGCTGTCCACGCCGTCGGGAACAAGATGATTGTAGACGCCCACAATACTGTTGATGTCAGACGCATATGGTAGGTTTTACCATGTTGCTCCAGGTAAGATAAATGCCGACGCCCACAACACTGTGGATGCCCAGGTGCATGTGAGGGGCTTTACCGTGTTTGCCTGGTATGGGAATTGCTGGCACACACAACACTATAGGGCAAATATCGACGCCCTCAACACTGTTTGGGTTCTGACATGTCTGAAAGGTTGCAGAGCACCCTTCTGACATGGTCTTGTCGGTACTGTTCTGCGGTCGTGCAGGGTACGGTCTTCGGTATTGCGGTTGTCTTGAGTGTCCTGTCTTACTTGCTCTGTTCGTTTTCTCGATCCTTACCAAGTGGGCGTCCTTGGTCGGTTGGTCCCAGTCGACTCTGTAACACCCCGGTGTTATGCCTGCATTTAGGCACTGCAAATCATACCTATCATGCATCATCAAGCATCCTAATCATACATGCCTAATCATGTAAATAACAATTGAAACACTGCTTCGAAACATATGAAACATGTTGTGAAACCTGAATGTTGCATACCTTTGTTTGAATTGTTTTGCCCTGATTTTGCTTGTTAGGTTAGTAAAACATGTTTGGCTACTATTGTAAATCATCTAGGATTATTTAGTTAAATTTTTGGAGCAAGGTTTGTATTCAAATTAATTCAAAATTTTGCTTCCAAAAGTAATTTCTCAAAAATTAGGGTTTTGAGTTAAACATGGACTTTGATTTTACAATTCAAAATCTAGAAAGAATTTGCCTTTGGTCATAAAAGCAAACTTGTAGAGAATTAAATTCTAATCAACTTTTATTTTTGGTACATTTTCAAAATATGTCATTTTCTTGCTCAAAATGATATTTGAAAGCAAGGCATTTAAAATTTCTTGAAACTATAAATGGAAAAGGGCTTTTTTCTCCTTTCTGCTGAGCCCCTCCAAAGCCCGCTCCAAGCTCCCGGCCGGTAACCCGTGATAGCCACGGCCTTCCCCCACAAG